GGAAACTTGTTGCATTAAATTATCAGGGCTCAAGATGAATCAAAATCTGGGAGCAGTTCAGCTATTCTCCAAGACAAAGCAGCTGTTAGATTATTTTATGGAAAAAAAAAAAAACCAAAACCACCAAAACAAAACAAAAAACCAATCTGAGCAACAAGTCAACTGAGAGTGGGGGGAAAGCAGAGTAAGTGGCCTCTGACAAGGTTCTGCATGCAAAAGGCTGAGAGCTCCAAAAATCGCTGGAGAAAAAAGGTAACAGAAAAAGGCAGCTGCCTGGGGGGGTCCTTTCCTGGAGCAGCCTGAGCCCTGCCTTATGAGGCGCCAGGGCAGGCTCCACCCCAGAGATAACACCACTGTGCTCTGCCTCTCAAGGCTTTCCCTCTGTACAAAGGTGTCTCAGCAGGCAATGCATCGAGCCCACAGGCCACTCGGCTGCAGATAAGGACATTTATACTGAAGGGACTTCCTCCCAAGCTAAGCTGTGTCCTCAAAAGCAACTTTACAGCCGTGGTGCAATTCTCGCAGTATAAAACCCACTGGCTACCCAGGGACTGAACTGTCCCAGCCAGAGATGCGGGTGTTAAGAGACCCCTCAGTCTGCCCCTCAAGGCCATGACACCCACAAGGCTGGCACCAGCGGCCGTGGCTGACCTGTGTGCCTGTATTCCTTCTGCTCGAAAAAGCAAAGAGAGAGCAAGCTAGAATTTGCTCTTCACCCCCAAAGCAAAAGGCTGAGACCGTGACTCCGTACACAGGCTTCTTGTTCCTCGGCTCCCCCTACATATTCTGTAGCAGCGCTGGCACCACGCTGATGAAGCCCGCTTTGCCCAAAGCAAACATCCTGCAAATCCACCTTCCTCCCTTCCCAACTTCCTCCTTGTCCAGGCCCTCTCCTCCAGTCCACCTCAGCACGGCAATCTCTGATACTCTTCCCGGATCCGTCCTGCTCCCCCGGAGCTCTCCATTGCTCTGGCACTAACGACCCCATCCAGCCCCACTCTCCCCTCCAGCACTGCTCTGTCCCAGCCTGCTCCCTTATTCCCCAGGCCTTCCCTCTGCCCATCCCGGCCGCTCGCAGCTGAGTTCCCGCACCGTGACTACCCTTCTCCCAGCCCCTGCGCCCTGCAAGCCCCCACCCCGTGCCCGCTCTGTCCTCCTCGTTCCCGGGCCGCCACCTGGTAGCACAGTACCCGCTGGCTCAGTGCCTCTCCCCGCCACTCTCCAGCCCCACATCCTGCCTTGTCACCATTCCCCAGCCCCCTCCTTCCGCCCCTCTCAGCCCCATCCTCCCCGGCACTACCCGCCAGGCTCTACTCTGTACCGGGGCGCCTGGCACGGCCCGGGCCCCGCCAGCCACCGCCCCCTCGCCCCTCCCTCGGTGCGCGGACCCGTCTCCGCCCCGCCCCGGCTCCCCTATTCTTACCCGGCGGCCGCGCCCTCGAACTTGAGCGTGAGGGTCTCCTCGATGATGCGGTTGTTGACCTCGAGCAGGATCATGTCGGTGCCGGGAGCGGCTCTGAGGGAGCCGAGCCCGCTGCGCGCACCGGGGACCCGCCCGAGCCTGCGCCGCCGCTTCCGCTCTCGCGCCCGCGCGTCACTTCCGGCTCGGCGCCGCCGCAGGCGCAGCCCCCGCCCCGCCCTGCCCACCCGTGATGACGTCACAACCAGCTCCGCCCCGCGGCGGGTGGGGAGAGAGGGGAGGTGCCCCCTAAATGGGGTGGGACATGGGGTAGGACACAGGCGGAGTGGGCTGTGGGGTGCTCGTGCTATGGGCATCACCGCCAGCTGGGGTGAGGCAGGGATATGGGGTGTGCCTGCGGTGTGGAAGTCCCCAAAAGTGTGAGGTGCCTCCCCCCCGCCGTTAATTGAATACTCACAGTGTTGGAGGTTCCCGAAACAGTGGGGTGCCCTTAGGATTATAGAGACGCTCTAGGAAGTATCAGGTGTGCCCCAGTGTATGGGGGTCTGTATAAGAATTGGTGCTCCAGGGATATGGGGGTGCTTACAGGCGAAAATGGTATCTTGCAAGATGGATCATTTCAGAGCTACAGGGCCCCAAAAATGTGAGGTGACACAGGGAGTGGGGATATCCTAGGGGGGGCTGTAATAGTGCCCTGGAGCTGGGGGTTGCCCAAAACTGGGCAAGCGTTCCCAGGGAATAGGAGTGTCCTTGATCTGGCAATACCTAAGGGATATGATGGCAGCATTGATCAGGTGCCCCAAAAACGTGGGGCACCCCTACGACTGATAAGCATGGAAAGCTGTGAGTTTGTGAGTGCCCCAGAGTAATGGGGGTGTATAGGGAATGCCCTTGTGTGCAGGTTTCCCCTAAAAGCAATAGAGGTACTCAGAGCCACAGCATTTGCTAAGTCTGAGGGGCTGGCACAGGGGCACGGTTCTGTCTGATGGCATGGCTTGATTTCACTTAGCTTGGCATGGCATAGCTAGGGCAGGAGGACATGGGATTCTGGGGGTGCCCCACAGCAACCCCCAACTGCAAGCCAGACTTGCAGTCCCCCTGTGCATCCCCCAAATGCTGACACCACCTTTGCTCTATCAATGGGGAAACTGAGGCACAGAGCCCCGCATTGTCATCACTCACTGGCCATGGCCTCGGAGAGCTTCTGCTCTTCTGGGGGGACTGCAGCACACAGGGGTACCTTGTAGGGGATCCCCTCATCCACTGAGAGCCTGGGGACAAATTGAAGACCTCCTGCTGGAACCCCCGGGGTGCATCATTGCAGGGATGACAATGAACCCCTGGGTACACTCCCAGTGCAGTGTGGCCTGGGACAACCTAGGGCAGGAGGGTGACAGGGGGCTGGGGGCTCCCCTCGGCCTGGGAAAGGCATCTGGGGGGACCAGGGTCCCTTTGGCTGCCACTTCCGCTTCATGCTGGGAGAAGATCTTGCAACATTTCCTCCCCGGGCAGTATAAAGTGGGCGGTGGAGGAAAGGGGCACTGGGAGGCAGCACAGCAACAGGCGCAGGTGAGGGATTCTCCTCCTGGTGAGATCTCTGGGTCTGGTGCTGCCCTGCATCCCACCACACTTTGTACTGGAGTCCTTTGGGGGTGACATCTGGATTTAAACCTGTGCCTGTGAGCTTCCCAGTGAGAAACACCTTGGGATCGAGAGAAGACCCTGCATTTGAGGGGACGACGACAGCAGCAAGCAGTGAGTCCATGGGGTGTGCCACTGCAGATTGTGACTTTCCTCGGGCGTTGACAGCCGCATAGCAGCCATCTGAGCCCCTTCACATGTGGAGCGTGCTGGGGTGGGTTGGTCCAGCTGCCCAAGAGGCTGCTTGGTGCAAGGGTAGAGGGAGGTGATGGGTGGGAGCACCCAAGGCTGTGCTGAGGGCTCATCTAGGGCGCAAACCCTCCATAGGACATCAGCCTTGGGTGCCGCGGGGAAAAAGTGCCTGCTCCCATTTCCTTGCACAGCGATGAGCTAGGAGGATCCTTCCCCATGGCATGTCCCTCTTTCTTCCCCACTGAAAGTCCCGGGGCCACCCCATTGTCCCCCAGCTCTTCCAGGGTCAGGAGAGGAAATGGAGTGCTGCTTGTTCCCCCCATCTGGGCCAGCTGTGGGGTATCTGTTTGTGGTACACCCGGGGAATACTCGTTTCCAGAGGAACCACCAGAATTTTGGAGCGGGGAGGCAGATAGCAGCAGCCAGAAATAGATGGAGGGGAAGCACTGGCATCAGGCTCTGCCCCGTGACTGTGGCAGCCCCACTTGGGAGGACATTCCCCCATCAGCACCGGCAGCATCCTTGGTTGCTGTCCTCCGGGATGCTGATGCCTCGGCATCCCAGCATCACCCCGCTAGGATCACCATCCCAGGATTTCCATCCCTGGATCACTGCAAGAGAGGATGCAGCAGAGCCAGGGAGGGATTTTTCTGGGCAGCGGCACCAGCCCAGCTGCAGCAGGGAATTCACATCAGGCAGAAGGGGAAAGTTGGTTCCAGGGATGGTTTGAGTTCAAAGTGGGCCAGCTCAGACCTGGGGGCCCCCAGCACTGGGGAGATTCAGCACCCCAAGCAGACCTGGCATCTCCAAGCCCTGGAGGATTTGGGGGCTCAGAAATGGAACAGGGGGTGAAACTGGAGGAAAAAATGAGTTCAGATCCATTCTGGGAGAAGGGAAAGCCGGTGGTCTTTGGGGAGGCAGGAACAGAGCAAGTTCACCATCTCCTATGTGTGAAGAGACAGGAAAAGTGACTGTCACCTGTGATTTCCCCATTGAGGCCAAGCACGGGGGGGGGGGACAGCAGTGCCCAGCTGAGCAACAGGAAAACCAGAGGTATCATATTTCCAAAGCTGCCTGCAAAGTGTGACATGTCTTTCCGTCCGGGGCTTGAAAACACTCCCACAGGAGCAAGACCAGGAGGTGGAAGAAGGGCACAAAGACACCTCCAGATCTTCTTGAGTGCTGCCTGCCCCAGGCACTGTGACCACAGCCTTGCTGCTGGCTGAGGTGGCTGGAGCACCAGCTCCATTCCAGGCATGGAATGCCTGCAGCAGCAATGCTTGAGGGGGTGGAAAGGCTGGAGGAATACAGGGGCACTTGAAGAACTTTGGAGGTGCCTGAGGGGCTCTGAGATGCCCAAAGACCTGTGAGGCTTTTGAAGGACCCACAATAAGCAGGGGAGCCCAGAGCTTCTGGAGGAGACAAGTGTCTCCTGGAGGGATGTGATGCTACATTGATGCGGAAGCCCCCCAACCCCCCAAACTGAGAAGAGGTGACCAGTCTATGGGGGAACCCCTTCTTCCACAGAAGTCAGGAAAGGGACAGGATTGGGGTGAAATTCAGGAGACTGAGGCATGCAGGGGGTGTTTTACAAGGGGGCATATGTGGAACAGTGTCTACCTGCAGCACTGACCATTGCCTGGCACAGTGCAGTGATGAAGGATAGCTGCCCACTGGCTGGGAGGGGACTAGGGAGAAAATAGAAATGCCAGAGGACCCAGAGATACTGTCACCCCTGGTCCACAACACTGCCACCCCACACTCTTGCCATTTTGTGCTCCACAGGCAAAATGGAGTCCTTGTCCTACAGCGGGGATTTATCCAACATCTTCTACCTTTACAACTACAGCTATGACTACAGCACAGCCATGCCTGACACTGCTATCTTATCCTCTCCGTGCCGGCCTGAAAGCTCTGCCCTCAACAAGTACCTGGTGGTGGTGATCTACTGTCTCGTCTTTATCCTCAGTGTGGTAGGGAATGGTCTGGTGGTGCTGGTGGTGACCTCCAGCCACACAAGCCGCTCCGTCACCGACGTCTACCTGCTCAACCTGGCTGTGGCAGACCTGCTCTTTGCTTTGAGCCTGCCACTTTGGGCAGCCTACCGAGCACACGAGTGGGTCTTTGGCACTGTGATGTGCAAAGCCATCTCTGTGCTGCAAGAGGCCAACTTCTACAGCGGCATCCTTCTGCTGGCCTGCATTAGCGTGGACCGCTACCTGGCCATCGTCTACGCCACGCGGGCTGCCACGGAGAAGAGGCACTGGGTGAAGTTTGTCTGCTTGGGCATCTGGGTCTTTTCCATACTGCTCTCCCTGCCTGTGCTGCTCTTCCGTGAGGCTTTCCGCTCACCCAACAATGGCACTGTGTGCTATGAGCGCATCAGTGGCGAGGACACGGCCAAGTGGCGGGTAGTGCTGCGGATCCTGCCGCAGACATTCGGCTTTGTCTTGCCCCTCCTGGTGATGTTCTTCTGCTACGGTGTCACCATCCACACCCTCCTGCAGACCAAGAATGCTCAGAAGCAGCGGGCCATGAAGGTCATCTTTGCTGTGGTGCTGGTCTTCCTCATCTGCTGGCTGCCCTACAACATCACACTGGTGAGCGACACCCTCATGAGGACACGGGCCATTGCTGAGACCTGTGAGAGGAGGAACCGCATCGACACAGCCCTCTCTGTCACGCAGGTCCTGGGCTTTGCCCACAGCTGCATCAACCCTATCATCTACGCCTTCATCGGTCAAAAGTTTCGCAACAGCTTCCTCAAGATCCTGGCGCAGCGTGGGCTGATCAGCAAGGATGCTGTTGCCCGCTATGGCCGCACCTCCTATGTCTCCACCTCTGGCAATACATCCACCACCCTCTGAGCTCCGCTGGGACCCAGCCCTTGTGTGTACTAGCAGGTCCCAGCACCCCACACACCTCAGCATCCTCATCCAGCCCCCTGGAATGTGGGTGGTGATGCCATGGGAATGGGCAGGGCCACCACTGGACGCTGGACCCCAACTGGAAGGAGGATTGGGTGGCAAGGTGATAGAGTCCCATTGCCAGGGGAGTGATGTCAAGTGTCCACCCTCCCCTCCCACTGGGACAAAGCCTGTGACCCTGGGGATTCTGTAAGCCTGCTGTGGGAATGTTTTTTTTACCTGATGACCATCCAGCAATAAAAGAGTTGGTGGGCTGGTCATCCATGTCTGGCTCCTCTTTGCTACGGGAAGGGAGATGGCAGGACGGGGCCAGGGCACCTCTCTGGATGCCGAAACAGTGGTGTCTGCTGAGCCTGTCAGAATGTGGATAACCTTCTTCCAGGAGAGGGTTCAGCATCCTGTGCTTCCTCCTAGGGGACCCAAGCCCAGGTTTTGCTCCCCAGACAGGTTCTGGCATTTCAATGGTACAGAGGTCTCTATGTGGAGTCTATCCTACCTGGGGACAAAGTCATTCCCTTCCCAACTCCAATCTCAGCCCTGACAGAACAAATCACTGCAAGATCTCTGAGCAGCCCCTCACACTGAGCCAGCCCTGTGACCCCTGCCTGAAGGGTGCCAGCACCCCAGGCACCCCTGCTCCCCCCCAGCCATGATGTCAGGACATTGTTGTGCAAAGGGCTGGGAACCTGTCCCTTACACAACCGGGATGTTTCCGCCCTGGCTTGGGCAACTGGGGCTGACACTTTACTGGGGTCAGGAGCTGAAGAAGGGACTGTGACTCTGCTGGGGATTCTCCTGCCACTCTGTGCCAGGCCTCAGGATGCCTGCCCCAGCACACCTACACATCTCTCCACTGGAGTCCCATACTGCTCCTCCATCGACCTTGATCTAGGTTCCTAGGGGTCCATAACCATGGGGACATCAGCGGATATCACCCATGTGCTGGGTCATGGGTGGGTAGGGGGGTGCCCAGCAACCAGGTGGAAACCCTGGGGACTTGGGGCAGAGCAGAGTCAGTGGGGGTGCTGAGCAAGAACAGCCCCTCACCTTTGCATGTGAGAAACCTCTTGCCCAAGTGGTTTCTCGCACTGTGGTAGGAAGCCAGAGCTATTGGCCAAGAGCTGTCTACTCTCCCCACTGTGCCATGGTGCAGGCAATGGCTCACCCTGGCTGCAGCTGAGACACCCTTTTTGGGGATGGTTTCCCTCCAGGAGGATTTGAACACCCCCATGTCAGCATTCCCCACCCTGCACCCAACCCGAGTGCGAATCTGGCAGGAACTGATAGATGACACGGGAGCCACAGGGGTAGCAGAAATCAGTATTTTTCCTCTTTGTGGACCAGCCGCAAGAAACACACATGTCAAACCCAAACTGTTGGGCGGAAGGACCTGCATGCAGGGCCTAGACACCTGGATGCCCGGTAAGTCCAAGAGGAGGCAGCCAGGGCAGGATGTGTCCCAGACACGGTGCCAGGGCTGCTGTCCCCACTCATGTATCCTGCTGTTGCCTTTGCTGGTAGCAAATTAGGCAGCAGCGGCCATGCTTGCCCATGTCCACGGAGCACGTGTGGCACACCTTGCCCTGGCACAGCCTGCTGAGAGAGCAGGAGGTGAGACCTGAGCCACCCCTGCACTGTGCCAGTGCCACCCCCCATTCCCCCCATAGCTCACCTGCAGTTGTACCGCCGAGAGAGAAGGCGGAAATCCTTGTGGCAGCGGGCACACAATCCCGGGTGGCGGGGCACGGGACTGGGCATCGGGGTGTCAATGCCCTCTGTCTTCTGCCACAGGGCATCCTTCTCCCTGCGGGAGGGGAGAGGTCAACCCTGGATTTGCCGGGGCTCTGGTGCCCTCCTCTGGGCAAAGGGGTTGGGTCCCCTCGCCCTTGCGCGGAGTCCCGGTGGCTCTCACCGCAGCAGCTCCAGCAGCCGCTCCTTCATGTCGCGGATGAGCTCCTGCTGCCGTGCCTGCTCGGCGCCGCGCGTGGCCTCCCGCTCCAGAGCCTCCCGCTGCGCCCGCTGCAGCGCCCATGCCCAGCGCTCACCGTCCTGACGAGCCCTGCCGCGGGGCAGCGGCCACATGGTTCCCCAGTCCCTCAGCCGGTGTCTGTCCATCCCTCCATGCATGCGGATAAACTTCTCGCCGCTGGTTCTTCCCTCCCTCACTCCCTCCTTCCTTTCCACCTTCATTTTTTTTCTCTGCTGTTGCCCATCCATCCTCAAGCTCTTTCCCCATCCTCACAGCCGCTTTGCCATCTGCTACCCATCCATTTCCTCACTGTTCATCCGTCCTTCTCCACATCCACACCTCTGGCCTTCTGCCCACCCAGCCATCTACTCACCCCAAATTCATCCCTGTGTCTCTCCATTCACCGTCCCATCTCCATCCATTCTTCCTACATTGATGCTTCCTTCCCTCTGTCCACTAGCGCCAAACCACTCTAACTGTCCACCTACCCCTCCACCTACCTATCAGTCCCAAATTGACCCCTCCCTCCAGTCCTCCCCCCTCAAATCCTTCCCTCCCTCCCCCTGCCAATCCCCAGCTGCTGTTCGGCTGTGTCCAAGCAGGACATCCTTGGGGGCCCCAGGGGAAACGTTGTGGAAACCAGGTGGAGATAGGGGGTCCCACTGTGGGGTGCCCAACCTGCTGAGCTCCTCCTGCAGCTGTGCCATCTCCTGTTGCTGGGCCTGGAGCAGCTGCCGGCTCTGCCAGGTCTCCTCCTGTGCTGTGGCGGCCAGGCTGGCCAAGCGCTGGGGAAGAGTGGGAGCTCAATCCTGGACCCCAAACCCCCACCCCACCACGGGATCCCCTTGGACTTGCTCATACCATGGCCATGCTGGTGACCGTGCTGGGTTCCCCTTCTGCCTGGGGGGCTGGTGGGGGCTCCTGGGAACCACGGGCGAGCTCCAGTGCCTGCCGCAGCACCTCCTCCACAGCAGCCACCTCATTTGAGGTACCAGCATCCTTCAGCATGTCCGTCCGTCCTGCCGCCGCCAGCGCTTCCTGGCATTCCCGCAGGCGCGAGGTGAGCTCCGCCGCCTCTGCCAGCACCCCGGCCAGCTGGATACCCCGCTCCTCTGCCACCTCTTTCCAGCGCCGTGCCTCCTCCTGTGCCCGTGTCAGTGCCCGCGGGTCCCCCGCTGCCTGCAGTGCCCGCTCCAGGAAGGTGTTGGTTTCCCGCAGTGCCTCAGCCTCGCGTGCCCACAGCTGGGCTCGCCGGGCACTGTCCTCCTCCAGCCGCTGGTGCCGCAGTTCTGCCCGCGCCAGCCTCACCGCCAGCGCCTGTGCTGCCGCCTCACGCTGAGCCAGCTCGGCCCTCAGCTGGGACACCAGTGCCTGCAGGGATTCCTCTGTCCCACCCGGTCGCCTGGGCATCAGTGATAGAGACCCCAGCATGCACCTTGTGCCAGTGGACAGTGGGGACATGCCAGGCTCTCCAGCACCATCAGGCTGGGCTGCTTTGCCAGTGCCATGTACATCCTCTAACTTCTGTTCATGCCCATTCTTCATCTCCTCGTCCTTCAACTCTTCATCCTTCTCTTCCAAATCCTCCTCCATGTCCTTCTCCACCTCCACTTCCACATCCTCCAACTTCACATCCTCCACCTTCACCTCCTTTGTATCCTCACTGTCATCCTTCTCCACCCCCTTTTTATCCTCCTCTTCCATGTCCTTCTTCACCTCCCCATCGTCTACATCTCCCTCTATATTTTCATTTTCCACACTCCCTGCCTGCAGGGCAGCCATAATGGGTGAGCAATGATGGGCTGATGTCCCATGGAGTGCCACAGTGGGATGGCCAATGCCATCGGACCATCCATGTGCCGCAGTGCTGATGCTGTCTGTCTGCAGGGCTGTCTTTGCTGGGCTGCTCCTGATCACCGTGCTGGGCCGTACCAGTGGCCTAGAGAGGACACAGGGCTCAGGACTACCACGTCACCCCCAAGGTGAACAGGGCATCACCACCCTCCATTTAGGCTCCCAGGGCACAGCCGGCCTTTAGGAATTTAGGGGGCAGCAGGGAAGAGGATCAGAGATGTTGGTGCCACCAGCCTGAGCACCCACAGAACATGTGGCACCCATCAACCCGAGCATGTGTGCTTGTGGCAGTCCGTGCACGAGTGTGTGAGCAGCAGAGCAGATGTGAGTGTGCTGGAACCGCTGTATCCGTGAGTGCCTCCCAGAAGTATGCCTGGGGCAAGGGTGTGCAAGCACATCCATGTGTCCCTGTGTGTCAGATGTCACAGTGCCACAGTGTTGCAGCAGGGATATACTTGGCAGAGGATGGCTCTGTGTGTGTGTGTGTGTGCACATGCATGTGGCATGTTTGCAGGCATAGGCAAGGTGTGCATGCTGGTGCTAGTAAACGTGCCCTGCTGGGGCTACATATGGAGAGCTGGCATATCTGAAGTGCTGTATGGGGTCTAGGGCAGTGGGGCAATGCACACATGCTTCTCTGTGATGCTAAGCCCCAGGTGCCTCTGATGCCCTTGACACCCCCAGTGCTGCCAATGCCCCTGGTGCCCCCAGTGTCCCCAAGCTCACTCGGAGAACATGGGCCAGGCGGTGTCCAGGTCATCTCTGTGCAGGGTCAGGTGGAAGGTGACACAGTCCAGCTCATAGAGGCTACCCAGGATCTCTGCTCGCTGTTTGGGGCTCAGGAAGGGGCTACGGGCATAGTACCACTCGCTGCAAACACATAACAGGCTCATGCATCCTCTATGCCCTGGACAGGTACACATTCCTGCAGCATCGCTGCCCACCCTGGCCAGGACCCCCACCAACATCATCCCCTCACTGTTCCCCTGCTCTCACCAGAGGCTCTCAGAGTCGACGAGGCAGAGCTGCAGGGACTCTGCCAGCTGCTGGTGCACCAGGCAGTACCGCAGAAAGGCTCGGCCCCTGCCCACAGGGGTCTTCAGCTGCGGAAGGGAGGGGGTTATCAATCCCTGTCACTGCAGTCTGCTCCCCCCACAACTCCCTCCCAGCCCACGAAGGGGCAAAGAGGGTTTGGGGTGCAGTGGGGATTCCAGAGGGGACAAAACCATTTATAGCACCAGTGGGCGAATGTCGGTGCCCAAGCGAGTGTGTGTCTGTGCACAGGTGCATATGCACCAACAAGCAAGCAAAAGCCCGTGTGTGTGTCCAAGTCCCTGGGTATCCCACCAGTCCATGCCCACCTTGTCCAGGGAGGTGACGAAGTGAATGCCCTCATGCTCCTGCCGGCACCGTGCTAGGCCCTGGCACAAGAAGTCCCAATAGTCCTTGCGCTGCCCAAAGAAGCTCCTCTTCTCCTTGAGATCAAACTGGCAGAGGTACAAGCTTGAACTTTCATTTTTGGGGATGTCCCCTGTTCCCCCCAGCCTGTCCCCTGTGGGGCTGGAATCCAGCCAGCTCCCCCCAGCAGGGGTGGTCTGGGTGTTCCACTCTTCACTGGCTCCATACCTCGATTTCCCTTTTGCAGCACATGTAATTACACATGTGGACAAGGGAGAGCCTGGTCCAGGTCACTGGAGATGCCCAGGGCCAGACAATGCTGGGTGGGGTTATTCCATCCCCTGAATAGTTAACATAGGGTCCCTTCTGCTCTCAGCTGTGCCTAAGGGGAAATGAGGCAAGGAGCAGAAGAGATGGAGGAGCAGCAGTACCTGGAGGAGGAACTCTAGCTGGGCACAAAGGCTGTGCAGCTCCCGGCTCCCGTCTGTCACCGGCAGGTTCTTCTCCTGGTAGCTGCATTTCAGCTCAGCCACGGTCTCTGCAGGATGGCAGGGCTGGGCTGGCATGGCACCCTCTTTCATCCTACCCCTCTCCCCACTGCCTCACAACTCCTGGCCTCGGGGATTTCTGATGGTGGATAAAATCATAGAATCATAGAATCTAAGTTGGAAAAGACCTTCAAGATCGAGTTCAGTCACTAACCCAGCACTTCCAAATCCACCATTAAATCATGTACCCAAATGACACATCTACACGTCTTTTAAATACCTCCATGGGTGGTGACTCCACTACTTCCCTGGGTAGTCTGTTCCAATGCTTGGTAAACATTTCCATGAAGAAATTTTTCCTATTATCCAATCTAAACCTCTCCTGGCACAACTTGAGGCCATTTCCTCTTGTCCTAACCCTTGTAACAGGGAGAAGAGACTGACTCCCTCCTGGCTACAATCTCATTTCAGATAGTTGTAGAGAGTGATAAGATCTCCCACTGGGCCTCCTTTTCTTCAAAGAGGAAGAGGAACTTGTCCTGGGATGAAGGAAGGGAGCAGCAAGGAGCCACCTCCTGGGCACTGCCCATTCCCAGGGGCTGACAGTGAGGATGGGAGCAGGCAGCAGTGGCAGGGTTGGCACGGGGATTCTCTGGAGCACCCCTGGCAGTGGCACCCCCCACTGCCCATGACTTGAGGCAAGAAGGGATCTGGCATAGCCAGGGTGAGATGTGCCATGCAGGGAACATGCTGGCAGGGGACTGGTTGGCACACTTACTCTGCAGGTCCTTGATGACACGGTTGAGCTCCCCTTCCCCTGCCATGGCTATTCACAGGGATCTGCAGAGGCATGGACAGTGATGAGAGGTTCTAGGCTGGCACTCCCCTGGCACCCCCAAATTCTCTGCCCCAGAGAGAGGGTCTGCCCTCCAGCTCTACCCCAGAGCTGTCTGCTGTTAAGGTGAGAGGGGGTAGGTTTAGGCACCCCTTACCCTGCCCATGTTCTCCCACTACATAGGCCAGAGCAGATGAGGTGGACAAAGGTGTCCTGTCCTGCACCCTCTTAGTCGTCCATGTGCCCTGCCCCATATGTCCTCAGCCTCTGCTCCCATTCCTTGGGGAGTTCCTGGGGCTTAGCCCACCACGTCCCTAGTGTGTCTCTGTCCTTATCCCGGCCATTTTTCGCCAGGATTCAGGATGTGGGTTTGGCACAGGGGAAGTGCTGCTTTTGCTTCTGCTCTCGCTTCCCTCACTCGCATCACGAACAATGTGGGGGCTCCTGGGTGGTTGAGCAAGGGGGCACACCACCCCTGACATGCACCCCCTAAGCTCAGCTTCCTAGGCAGAGCCCTCTGGCACAGCATATTGCCTGCATGACTGGCACGGGGTTTGGGCATGAGGTGCAGGACTACAGGGCACAGTGCAGTGGCATGATTTTGGGGTGGGTGGCAACGTGGGGACAGGGTGAGTGAAATAGCCCATGGAGGTGGCAGGTCTGTGACTTGTCCCTGCGGCTGGTGTGGGGCAGCATATGTGTGTGGGAGGGGGTATGCATGTGCACTCACAGGAGTGGGTGCACTGGTGTGCCCAAACATGCCCAAGCGTATGAGTGCCCTGTGCCCTCTACCACGGCAGAATGAGAGAGCAGGACGCAGGTCTTGGACTGCCTGCCTTTCCATTCCAGTGCCCTTAAGAGACCTGTGATGAGCTATCTTTGCATCTGCCCACCCTACTTGTCTCTCAGTTTCCCCTGAGAAGAGAAGCCCCTTACCTGTGTCCAGGAGCTGTGGGGTGCCCCAAGGCAGTTGCTAAGTGCTGCGGGTGCGCTGGCTTGTCCCCTTGCCCACGCTGTGCCTGCCTGCTTCTCCTTTTGTACCTTGGGCAGGAGGAAGTGTGGGAGGTCGGTGGGGCTGCAGAAGCCACAGCCTTCCTGGCCCATATCACATCAGGCACTGCAGCTTAGCCCCTAGCACTCAGCTCCCTGTGTTGGGGAGTGCCAATTCTGGGAAAAGGGTCAGCAACACTGGTCCGCCTATGCAGCTTTTGCAGGGGCAGAGGAAGGATAGTATCAGGCATGGGGGGCCTTGATACTCTCCAATATGAATAGAAATTTGGAATGTTTTGAAGAACCTGCCTGCAGTTTTTGTGGAGGGGGTCCAGGGCCCCCTGAAGCAAGAAGCAGCCAGCAGCAGACCCTGGCACAGAGGCCACCCCCATGCACAACAGTCCCTGAGCTGCAGAGACCCCCGCAGGAGCTGCAGCTCCTTCTAGCAAGGACCACAACCCTCCCCTATCATCTGGCCTCCACATGGGGGCTGTACCCGGAGCCAGTACGTAAGCTCTTTGCAGAATATTCTGGAAAAGGCTCCCGCTTGTTAGGGAGCCCCCAACCCAGCAGTGCACCTCATTCACTGTGCCTGGACCCCCATACTGTGTCAGCCCTGTCCTGCCGGCTCCTTCTGGACTGGGGACTGAAAAACCCCTGTGGGGGAGATGTCAGAGGAGGTGCCAGCCCATCCCACCAGTCCAGGCAGGGAGACTCACTACCATCCTGCTCCCCACCACTGTCTTGGTGGATGGTCACAGCAATGCCCATGTCCTGTCCTCTGCCATGCCCCTCCTTGTAGCACACGCTGCCCTTACCTGTACTACTTTCAAGTCTTGGGGGGCACCCGTGTCCCCCTGGCCAGGCCTCGCTCGGCACCAAAGTGAAAGTAGGAAGTGATGCTGAGTGGGAGCCTGGGCCTCCCAGCACCCTCTGGCTCCTGCGTGGGTGTTGGCCTGTAGGTGCAGCTGGGGAGCATAGGGGAGCCAGCAGCAGTGCTCAGGGTAACCCCGGCCTCCTCAGCACCCAATTGCCCCGTGCCACCCTGCAGTGTGTGGCATTGCGGGCATGGGGCACAGCACCCCATATTGGATAGGGCTGTGGGCAGGGTGTTGGGTGGTGGTGCATAATCAACCCACTGTGCTGGGGCCGTGTGTGTGTGTGTGCATGCATGTGCAGGCATGTGAATGATTGCACATGTGTGCGAGCAGAGCCATGTGGCTGCATGTGTGGGTGCAAGCTGTACACATGGTGTGGATGCAAGGCTGAGAGGGCACTGTGTGTGCCCTTAGTTGCACCCACCCATGTGCCCCGTGCCAGGCACTGCAAGGGCAAGACCCCAACACCTGCAGGGGGGACGTGCCCCTGCGTGCCGTGCCACTGTGGCAGCCTGGCAGCAGGGTCCCCTCTCCCTGCCCCTGCCAAGGGCCAGGGCGGGGGTGCTGGAGGCTGGGGGTGCAGAGAAGACTCTCACCCATCCTTGGCGTGGGTGCAATTCAATTAACGAGGCCTGGCCCTGGTTCAGCACAGCCAATAAAGCTAATGGCCCCGCACAGGCCTGGCGCTGCACGCAGTGGGGGGGGGGGAGCCGGGGGCCATCTGCTAATTAAATGGGAGTGGGGGACCATGGAGCCAGCGGTGATGTCACCTCCCTGAGGCTCACTGGCCCCCTCTGCCCGCCAGCCCCCTGCCACCCCCAGGGTGCCAGACACAGCTGTGGGGGACAGCTGTGAAGTGTGGGGGACCATCCAAACTTCCTGCACCCCACCCTGATGCTGCTGCTTGTTAGGAGGCTTCCTAAGGCAAATGCAATTAGTGCCCATGCCTGGCATGGCTGCTGCCCACGCCTGGCACCAGCAGCTGCCCCGTGGGGATGGGTCCTTGCCCGGCATGAGCACAGCATCATGGCAGCATCCAGGAGTGCTGCTGCCTGCTTCTCTTGGCACTGCCTCGATGTGTGGTGCCCAGGGGGCTGCACCCTGTTAACTCTGTGCAAGCCCCATGGGGAGGTGGAGGTGCCCGGGGGCCGTTTTGACCTGTCCTGCAATGAGAAGGTTCCTCATGGTAATTCTGTGCCCACAGCACGGTGCATCAGTCAGGCAGGCTTTGGGAAAGGGCCCCCACCGGAAAGGAGCTGTGTGGGGAGTCCCTGATTGTGTCCTCAGGCTCCTGAGGCGAGGCTTAGTAGAGGACTAGCAGAGGTGAAATACCCCCCCGCCCGTGTGTGGGCACTGCCATTTAGGACTAGGGGTGGGCAGGGGGTACTGTAGGGAAGCTGAGGCAGGGTTGGGGCGAGGGTTGCGGATTGAGCTGCTATCTAACCAAGGGTGTGCGACTCCCTGCACCCCCAAAACTGACGGCGCTGGAGCGGGGGACCCTAAGTTCTGGCATCCACCCCAGAGGATGCCGTGCCTGGAGGGCAGGAGGGTGAGCGCCGGAGGGGCCAAGCCCCGAGCCCCGTGTGCGGGAGGAGGAGAAGGAGGAGGAGGAGGAGAAGGAGGAGGGGGAGGAGGGGGAGCGTGTCGGAGCTGGCTCCCACCCAAGCACTGCAGGACAGGGGCGGGCACGGTGCTCCCTGCCTGGCTGCCAGCGCGCAGGCGACGCTGGGGGACCGGCGGGGGGGACAGGGCCCGGTGGGACCGCAGCCCCCCAGCACATCATTGTCGCACGGCCCCGTGCCCATTGGGCACTTCGGGGGCACTGCCCGGGCACCGGAGCTTGTTGCGGCCGGCGCCGGGAGAGGGACACGGCTGGGTTCTGCCGCTCGTCCGAGCGTGCCCTGGGCAGGGTTCGGCCCCCGCACCCTCCCCACGCCGGGTGAGCCCCGGGCAGGGGCACCATGACCCGGCTGAGCTGGTGCTTTGCCACCTTGGTTGGCTGGGGGAAGTCCTTGGTGTCCTGCCTCCTGCCCCTCCGCGCCCGCCGCCGCCGGGAGGTAAGCGGGCATCGCCGGGCACGGCGTTAGGGTTAGGGGCTGCGGGGGACACGGAGCTGGGGGGGCTCCGGGGTGTGGGCAGTGGGGGTATGGGTTGCCCCTGGCCCTGCCTGCTCCGGGCAGCTGGGGGTTAAACCCTGCATATGCATGCCAGGGTGCAGGGCATGTCCTTTGTCCCTCCTTTTGCTCCCCCACAGCGTCTCACTCTGACCCTCTCTTCCCACATTCGGGGAGCCCCGCAGTGCCTGACTGGAGACATCTGCTGTACAGCCTTACATTCTAAGGGATCTGCTGGGATCCCTGTGTCCTTAACAGAGAGACCGTAGAGGCAGGGGGTGTCCCTGTGTCCTTATCGAACCCACAATGGGAACACTGTGCCCTGCATGGGAGGACTCCAGTGTCCATAAAACACCCTCCACGAGAAGTCCCTGTGCCCATAAAGTGGTCAGTGTGGGGGATCCCTGTACCTGTAAACACCTGGCACTGGGAAGCACCATGCCCATAAAGTACTCAGTCAGTGTGGGCTCCCTGTGCCCAACATGAGAGACCCCTGTGGGGTCACTCTGTGTAGGGCACCTCTGTGCCCGTCAGCACCTGGCATGTGTGGGATCCATGTGCCAAAGGATTGCCCCACAGGGGATCCCCGTGCCCATGCAGCACCTGGTGTGGGGACTTAGTCTGCTCTGCCACCCAGGCTGCGGAAACTGAGGCAGGGAGGGGGGGAAGCTGTTGGAGGGTGCTGGACTCCTACTGCGCCACCCTCACTTCGTTCCTCAGCCTTTGGGAAGCTGCCTTGTGCCTGGCAGGATGGCATGGGACACTTGAGCTGCACCATGCCAGAAAAGCAGGTGCCAAAGCCACTGCCTGGCAGCGTCTGAGGGAGTCACTGCAGACTGGTGACAGTCCAGTATTTACCAGCACAGGGACACAGCCTGGAGGAAGGAAAGGCCTCTGACTGCTTGGGGACCCCAGAGTGCGCCGGGGACACAGGATCGTGAACTGATGGGAGTACTGGGGGGTGGTAAGGGCTGTGGGTGGATGGGTGGCACTAGTGAGATGTGGGCTGGTGGTTGTGCAGTCCCATGTCCACCACTTTGTGTGTTTCTGATGTGGATGTGAGAAAACGGACTCATGGGGGGCTGTAACACGTGTACTTGTGCATGTGTGTTCATGGGTATGCAGATGGGGCTGAGGTGAAAGTGAGCTGCAGCTCACACGGGTGTAGGTGCACAAGAGGGCCCTATGGAGACCTCTCTGCCATGGGGTGTGTGTCCCCTAACACGTGTGTGTGCTGGGGGCAGTAGCAGCAGGGCTTTATGTTGGTGTGAGCTGTTATAGAGGGATGTCTGAGTACGTGGGACCCACCCACCATGTGTGACATGGGCTGTGTGTGTGGTGTACATGAGTGTGTCCTGGCATGTACACAGGGGGACATGTGTGATGTGTGCGTGCACCCAAGAGCAGTGTGGGGACAGCTCTGCTGGAAGTAGGTGTGCGGGCCTTGGGGATGTGGTGATCCCAGGACACAAAGGAGTCTTCCTGCCAAGGCAGCCCCTGCACTGGGCGTACATGTCTACACCAGCAGAACCCGTAGGGAGGTCCCTGTGCTAAGTTACCCCATATGGGTCCACCTGCTGAGAAAATGAGCCTTAAATAATGGTGATGGGCTGTGTCCCTGCGGCCACCCTGTCCCTGTCGCATGACCCCCGTCCCTGCCCTTCTGAGGAGCCTGGGATTGTCACGGCAGTCAATGGGAGGAGGTGATTTATGGGGGGATGTGGACACTTCTCTCCACTGGGGCTTTCATTTGTGAGCAGTAACAAGCTTGATTAATGAAGGCTGTAATGATGGGGAGGGGTGTGTGAAAGGGGTGGGCAGGGACGGCTCTTTGCTTGTTTGGTGCTGTGAGCAGGATCGGTCCCCCCGGCCTCCCTCTGGCCCTGGATCTAGTTGGCATGGAGAGGTGGGAAGTATTGTCCCCTTTTTCCCCGTCCCAGCTGGCACATCCCCACAGGGGTACCACTGGGGATGGTACACCGTGGGCTGGGTGAGCACAGTATAGTGGTGGGGTGGAGGACAATGGGACAGGGATATTTTGGGGATGGGTGGCTGCACTTTGGGAGGAGTCAGATGCAACCCCAGTCTCTGGGAAGGGCAGCCCTCCCCTTCCTTTCTGGGCTGGCGGTTTTATGCAGAGTATAGATGGGAAACTGAGGCATGGGGAGGGGGGTATTACAGTGCCCATGCCCAGGTTTCCATGCCAGCCGTGGCTCGTCCTGTCGGTGTGTCCTTCCCCCTGGCACATCCCGCACCCTGACTCACACCCTCATGGTCACGGCCAGCTGACCACAAGTTTCCAGGCTAGAGCCGGAGTCAGCACTGGTGGAGAGAGGGGGAACCGTATGCCGCACGGCCAAGCCCCCCAGGAGGGGCTGGACCACCCCCCTGCCAAATCCATCCCCGTCAGGGCCGCAGGCTGCCGAGTCGCTCTCCGTCCCGCCTGGAGGTTGTCTCCCCTCGCTGAGGCCCCCCAGCTCCGCGCATGGATGTCCGCTGATCCCTCCCCGTCTCCCATCCCGGGACCACCCAGGGGACTCGACTGGATTGGGGGGGGGGGGGTGTGCATCCCGCCGCAGGACCCGCTGGAGGCGGGAGGAGGGATGAGGGTGACGTGGGTGGCGGGTGTCCCCCGGTCAGCGAAGGAAATGGATCCCAAATGTGTGTGAGTGGGGAAGAGGGGGCCTGGGACACGCACAGCCCCATTCCGGGCCCCCACAGTCCCGCAGCCCCTCTGCTGGCGTTGGAGGGGTGTCCCAGACGCCTCCGGACCAACTGGATTGGGGCGCTGCGGGGTCCGGGGGAGTTTGCCGCTCCCCTTCTCCCCCCGGCCGGAGGGGGGGCGAGGGGCCGGGGTGGGGCAGACGGGCGGAGCGAGGGGCCGGGGGGCTCGGCCGGCCGGGGCCGCGCTGCGGACAGCATGACCGGGCTGTGCCTCTCTTGCCTGCTCTGGGTACGGCTCGCACCGGGGGGAGCAGGACGGCAGCGCCGCGGGGTCCCGGCGCCGGGGTCGCGGAGCGGGGCTGGTCCCGGGAGCGGGCGGTGGATGGGACTGGATGCGATGGGAGCGGACGGAGCGGGGTCGTTTGCACCGGGACGGGCTGACTGGGAGCACGGGGGAACTGGCGGGGTGGACCGGTACCAGGATCGGTGCTGGGGGAGCTGGGACAGAGCAGAGACCGCCAGGGACGGCCGGACATCGGGGTGGGGCTGGGGGGACCGGGCCGGGAGCGGGGCCGGGAGGCGCCCGGGGACTGTGGGGAGCGGCGCGGGACCAAGCCCGAGAGAGAAGCGGCGGTGGGCAGCAGGCTAGGGGGTACACGAAGAGGGGACCAGGCTGGGATGCGGAACAGGGACACTGGGCTGTAGGAGGATCTGTGGAAGGGTTGTGGGGTTGGGGAGGGTAGGAGGCTGATCCCCCTCGACGCCCAGCCTGCTCCACCATTCCCTGGGGCAGAGGCTCTGCTACTCCACTGAAGGGAAACTCGGAATACTAGGGGGGATCCCGTTAGTTGTGGGGGTTTGGGACTCTGCATCCTCCCCAGTCACCAAGCTGGGTCTCGGCGGGTTGCAAAACTCTGGGTGGACCTGAGCCTACAAGACTGACCTCCAGGTGTCCTGGTGCCCTCCACCCCCCCTGGCTTTGCAGCCTCAGGGGAACTGGGTGTCAGAGGTTCCCCCACCCCCCGCCACAGCACTCTCTGCAGTGCTGGGCAATGAACCCAGGTCTCCCAGCTCTTGATTAATTTGGCATCTCTGTCTGGTGCCTCTTCCAGCCCAGGACACCTGGGTCCCCTTCCAACCTCCTTTGGTCTGCATGCTGGAGGGCCCATGGCTAGGGATGCCTTTGCACCCCTGCTCCTGAACCGTGTGGGTGCTGGTCCCTGGAGGTGGGTACCCATGTGTGGTTATCCAGGTGACATGCCCACGAAACTCTCCAGCCCATGCCCCTGCATCCCCCCAACAGTTTCCAGCCTTGGGGGCAGGGAGGCTAACGGGGATGCTGCCGGTATGGAACTGAGACTGGATTGTTTTGTGGGATGGGCTGGTTCCCTGTCTGGCAGAATGGCACTGGGTGGGTAGAGTGCCTCTCCAGCAGCAGGGGGGTGGGGGGCATGAAGCTGGGTGCTGGGTTGGTCCCCCTCTGGCACAGTGATGGTGTTGGCAATGAGACAAGCAGAAGGGACTCTGGAGGGGGGTGGGAATCAAAGGGACGGCTCTTTCACTAGTGAGGATAATTGCTGTTAATGAAGCCATGGAGGCCAAGGCAGAGTGGGGGGTACGTGCATGGGAGATGTGTCGGCATCTCTGGGCATCCCAGTGGGTCCCTGGGAGCGAGGGGCAAGGTCTCTTCCCGGGGCACCCTGCAGCAATGATGCTGCTTTGCATATGCAAAGGAGCTCATGGCATCATTAGGTCTCGCTGTCACCCAGCAACTGTGGCGTGGGAGCCCCTGTCCTGGGGGAGTTTTTCCCACGGCTGCTGGGTGGGTGACGCCGTGTCTGAGCACACACACGTGTGTGCATACATACCCACCCAGTAGGGTGGCACAAGCTCTGGGGGCTGCCAAGGGACCACCCGTGAGTGGCTCTGGGGGAGCCAGTGCCCAGGAAAGAGGGGCTTGCACTCACATGAATAAACCAATGTATGTGTGCGTGGTGGCACATGGACCTGCATGTGGGAACAATGTACCCATGCCACTGCTGCTGCTGTGGCTGGTGGGGACACGCACGCCTCCAGGTGTGCACGTACATGCAATGCCATGACACATGCACTGCATGTTGCACCCTCACAGCCCCGGGGGTGTTTGCACATACATAGGCGTACAGTGTACGTCCATGGCCCATCTCCCATATGTGTCTGTACTGAGGAAACGGAGGCAGAGAATTTTGTGGGGAGGTACCCGGCCCCCTGACACTTTGGCACCATCCTTTTTGGCTCTGGTGCAGTGGGCTGGAGGAGAGCGGGGCGCCAAAGCAGGGGGGGCCGCAGGGCCTCTGCTTAATCTCATTAGTCTTGGCATGAAAAGGCGGATTTACAGGGGCTCACGTCTTCATTTGGCAGCGGGTGGGTGGGCAGGGTTGGTGTGCTGCCAAGGGTCCCCCCCCCCCAAAACAGTCAACTGGGGGTTTGGGAGGAGCACTGGATGCCTGCAGCTGTGCCAAGACCCCTCCCTGTCCTCAACCCCCATGCATGAACACACACACATGCTTGCACAGGTTGGATCCATCCTGCACTCAGTCACACTCATGGCATTAGCTTCCTCTTGCTGTAGGTTGTGCCAGACAGGGTGTGCACAGCTGCTCATGCTCAGGGGGCTCTGTGCCCCCTTTACACGGCTCCAAGAGACACCTCAGCACACATGGCCTGGCATGTACTCCAAAACACAGCATGACAGTAAGACAGCACGGGCACCATACTGGCAGCACTCACACATACCTGGGTGTGCACATAGGTTTTTGTGCAGATATCTGTGTACTCACACACACACATGCAAATACATGCATGTATTATCTACACGTATCTGTGCACATTCACATGTGCTCACATGCAGATGAGTTTGCACACACATATGTACATTCAAGCATCTTCACCCCCTGTGTGTGCAGACATACAAAGTTGTGCCACACATATGCAGAGATGCTTGTACACGGGCAGGTATTCACAGGGACACATGGAGATCTGCTGACATGCAGGGAGGCATGAGTGTGCATCCGTCTGTGCACGCACACACACATATCTGCACATACATGTATGTGCTCACATGCATGCACACACCTGCGTTTGTGCACACACCTGCGTTTGTGCACACACACACACTGCACACGCAGACACAAACAGCATGGACACGTGCACACACATATCTGTGCACACAGTCTGTGCGTGCACACACATGGTATGTGCATACACACTTCTGTGTGCACATACACACGCTTCTATGTGCACACACATACGTACACGCACATATATGTGCATATGCACAAATGTATGTGAGCACACGTATGTGCTTGTGTGCACACACATATTACAGCTAGGCACGCACCGCCAGGGGGCAGCAGAGACTATTTAAAGAGGTGGAGGCCGTGCCCCCCCCACCCCGTACCCCCAATCTCCAACCTATGCCCCCTCATCCCCTGCCCTGTACCCCTCATCCTCTAGCCCATACCCTGCACTGCAGCTGCAGAGGACACAGCCACAGGTGAAGGGGTGTGGGGGACATGGGTGGAGGATGAGCCGTTGCCCAGGGGAAACAGGCAGGCCAGAGTTGAGTGTCTGTGTCTTGGTGCCACCTTGTTCCCGCTGATGAAGTTCCATGTTCCCCCCAGCCCCAGGACCTGGAGGCCCCTCCAGCTCACACCTTCAAGATGACAAGCTTCAAGAAAGTGAAGGCATGCGGGATCTGCCGGCAGGCCATCACGCGCCAGGGCAGCACCTGCAGAGGTGAGCTGGGGCCGTGGGCACACATGTGCATGGGGACGTGCCAGGGAGGTCAGGACATCGGGGATATGTGTGTATGCCTGAATGCACGAGGATCTGAATGTAGGAACCTGTGCCAATCTGTGTATGCACGTGTGTGCCTGTGTGTTAGAGGGAGAACCGGAGCTGTGAGAGAGTATGTTTGGTGCTTTTGTGGGTGGGAAAGTGGCTGGGAGGCAAGGGTGTTCCATGGAGACACTGAGGTGTTGCACACATACCTGGCTGTGTGTTAGCTTCATGCATGTGCAGTGAGTGTGCAGTGGCCACCACGTAAGTGCAAAAAGGTGTGGGTCAGTGCACTCGTGGGTGTCACCCCCTGAGCCGTGCTTGCACCCAGTGGGTCACAGGTGGAGCCGCGAGCCCTCGCACGTGTGTAGTGTCGCTGAGCCCCGTGCGAGAGGCGGACAGAGGAAACGGGAACAATGAGGCTTCCTGTGCTGCAGGAAACAGGCCCAAGGGGAACAGCGACTGAGGTGCGGCCGTGGCCTGGGCCATGCTGCATGGGGACCCTTGTGTCCCCTGAGGATGGGATGTGTCTTTGCAGGGTTACCCAGGCAGTGTGGTGTTGTGGTGGTGCCCGGTATAAGTGCTTGTCCCCAGCAGTGGCAAACACGCCTGCACTGTTCATGAGCATGTGCCCTCCATGGAGGGCATGGGTGAAAGTGTGCAACAGCAGTGCACGGGAAGGAGGGAGGGAGCACAGGCAATGGCAGCACCCCTGTGGTCCTCTCAGCCATGCCGGTATCCATGAGAGGCCCCATGAGACCTGTTGGTGCTGTTCACCCTGGGCATTAGAGCTTGCATGCACTCACATTCACTGGCACATTGCCACTGTGTGTGCCCCAGAGCCACATTTTGTGTGCCTGCTGCTGTGCCGTGCTGGTGCCACCCGGAATGTACGCACCGGTGCGAGGTGTGGGTGTCCTTGCACGCGTGTGCACGTCTTGGTAGCCCGTGCCCAGTGCCAAGGTGCTCTGTGCCTTGCAGTGCTGTGTGCCCCACTTTCTGCCCTGTATGTGGGGTGCCTGCAGACTGCCCCCTGGCACTGCTCCCCCTCCTGCCTCCAATAACCCTCTCTCCCCTCTCTCTCCCACAGGATGCAAGCTCTCCTGCCACACCAAGTGCCAAGCCAAGGTAAGGCCAGTGCCCTGAGGTGTCCCCAACCCTGCCTGGGGGTGCTGGGGACTCAGAGGGAGGGTGCCATGGTCCATGCCAGCTGACCCCACTGATGGGCACCCAAATGGGCTGACAGCTCTGGGATGGTCATGGTAGCACTGGTGTTACTGCTGGGTGAGGCTGACAGTGCCATCCTGCTGCCTGGTCACTGACAGCATGTGCCTGTCTGTGTAAGAGGCTGGGTTTTGGGGTACAGCCTTCTCAGAACGGACCAGTAGGTATCTGTGCCCCAGTGCCTGGAGTGGGGTGCCCTTTGCCAAGGTGAGTGCTGCTGCACGTGGGTGCCATGCGCCACAGCCAGGCGCTGCCAGCTGCATGCACACAGGCTGAGCACCTCTGCCGATGCCCAGGCGGGGGCGGATCTTGCCGGTAGGAGACAGTAGAACTGAGGATGCCCAGTGGTGTCTGTCTATCCAGCTGCTGCACTGGCAGAGAGGAACCCTACAGCAACCCAGGTTCTCCGAGGAGCTGGAGGTGGGCATGGTGCCCATCACTGTGCTGTCGGGGCAGGGGAGGCTTCGTGTTCTCAATCCCTGGGGAGGAGTGTATGCCAGCTATCTCTGGGGCTGGCATCCTGGGCGGGAAGAGGCTGGCATGCCCCAGGCAGACAGCGTAGGCTGGGACATGCCTGTTCCCGTGCCCATTGCCTGTGCCCAGCTGGGCAGGGAGGGAGAGGAAAGGGGGGTGCTGTGCCAGGTGCTGGGCACACGTTGGGCTTTGCAGGGTGCCATGGTATGGATGGCGGTGCAGGGCAGATGCTGGCAGCAGCCCTGGCACTGAGTTCCAGCTGGGCTTTTGGGGGAAGTGGGGGCCATGGGGTACCCTGGGGCTTGAGTGGGCTGGGTGAGGGTGGCTGGGAGGCTTGGTGGAGCTGTGCCAGCCCCAGGACCCTGTGTCAACTCTGGACCACCTCAGGGCCCTGTGTCACCCCGGGCAGCCTGTGCCAAAGATGCCAGGAAGGCTGAGGTCAGAGAAGGTGGCCTTGCCAGGTGCTGTGGGGGGAGCTGGGAGGGGCGTGTGGTGAGGGGATGCCTTCGGTACGGCAGGCATGGCAAGGAGCATCTGCCAGTGGTTTCCAGGCAGGAGGGAGTGTCAGGAAGTATATGTGTCTGGGTGTGAGCCCGGTGGGGATTCTCTGATGTCTGATACGGGTTGTACACCAGGAGCGGGTTCATACCAGGCTCCCACCATCTGGATAGACTGTGCGCAGGGGCAGCCCATGGCTCGCTCTTGCGGCCGGCTGCATTTCATTAGCCTCCATCACCCTTCCCACGCTCGCTGGAAGCTGGAGCCCCTCGGTGGGGCCAGCTAGCCGAGGGCTTTGCTGCTGGGGGGGAGCGTGCATGGGGCCAGGGCCAGGGGCCTTCCGCAGAGCTCCTTTGGGCCAGTGCCCAGGGAGGGGCTCCTCCGGTCGGGCAAATGGCCAGCTGACTCACACGCCGCCTTGTTGTTGTAGGGTCTCTGGGGAGAGTGCATGTGGGGAGGGGGCTTGGCATGGAGCAAAAATGGCCTCTTGTATACCTGAAGTCCCTCGTGTTTAACCCCTGCACCTCCAGGATACTTTGGAGAGGGAAGATGGACTCACCCTCAAAGTGCTGGCAACTGCACTCTGCAATGCTTCCTCTTCCTGCCTTGGATATGCTGCCAAGGTCCTGGTGTCCCCTGGCTCTGGTGTCTCCTGACCCTGGAGTGTCCCCCACCATGGTCTTTGGTCCCCATATTTACCTCCTTGGACTTGCTCCACCTCTTTGTTCTGTCCCATAGCATGCGCAGCTCCCAGGCAGCTGCATCCTGGCCCAGCTGGGGGAAAGCCCCCACTTAAAACCTCAAATGGACCAGGTATAGGGGAGGGGGAACAGATGGGAGTGTAGAGTTGTACTGCTGGTAATCAGTATGGCGTGCCAGAGGGTACCATGAGTGTGATTGGGATAAGGGGAGGGGGGCATTGGAGTGTATGTGGGGACACCTGGGAGCTTTTGGGGGGGCTGGTGAGTGCCCCCTCCATGAGAAGGCAGTGAGCAGGCAGAGCTGTAGCAAGGAGGGCAGGACCTGTGCCCTGGCAGTGACCTGCATCCCTCAAGTTTCCATCCTGCCTGAAAGACAGTGGGGGAATAGTGGTGAAACCTACTGTCCTGTGCTGGCGGTGATGCTGGTGGGATGCCTGGTGCCCGTGGGTGGCTGTGGAGGGGCCAGGGCAGCTGCACACTCATCAGCTGGGAAGCACAACACTGTTCCCATGCCCATGTAAGGCCCTTCTTGCACCCTGTGCCTCTGCTCAGGGATTTTTCCTTGCTTAGCAAACCTCCCTCCCTCTCTCCGAGAGGGACGGTTGGATGGATGGACAGTGGTATGTATGTGACACACACAGCCTGCCCCCTCCCTCCTTCCCTGCACCAAAACTGCCTGCCCAAAGCTGCGGGGGTGTATCTTCCTTTGAAAAGTGGAGAAACTGAGTCACTGAGCCATGCCTGGGGACAGCAGGAGGCAGGGAACGTGGTGTGGGGTGCAGTACTTCTGTGCCTGTGTTCAGGCATGGGTGAGCCTGTGCCATGGGTGGCATATGCCGGCAGCGGGACAGCCAGGGTCTGGTGGTGACACTGCTCTCCTGACCGAGGAGAGCTCCAAGCAATGCAGCCATGCAGGCATGTCCCAAATCAAGGGATATCCTAGGAGCATCCCCGTCCCTCGGAATGCCTTCAGCCTGACTGTGGCTGGATTTTGCCGTGATGCTGGTTGGAGAGGCTGAGGAAAGATGGGGGACTATGCTGCTTCCTGTAGTGGGAGCTGGCCCCATGATGGATGGTTTGGCTGGGGGACAGGGAACGCTGTGGTGTTTGGCTGCTGAATCGGCTGGCGATTGCTGGTGCTTGGTTCTGGGAAATGGCGCCTATGCCAACCCCTGGGCCTGGCAAGGCTCCAGCCTGCCCTGCTCGCCCCTGCCACACAGGGGCCCACCAGTGCTGGGGAGTGAGGGTGCTGGGCTGTGTCAAGAGGGGAAACTGAGGCACATCACATAGCGTGGGGCCAAGGGGTCTAAGGGTTGTCCCCCCAGTGTCTCTTCCTGGGGAGCTGAAAGTGTGCATTGGAGCCATGCCAGGCTGCTGGGCCACGTGTGCGTTTTCCTGTGTATGTAAACGTGTTTGTGTGTGTGACCGTGTGTGCTCACAGATGCATGCACGAGTGCATGAGCTGCAGGGAAATCCACATGTGTGCAAGAACATCCATCTGTGTGCATGAGCACGCTCGCACACAGATGGATGGGTGGTCACATGCACGTGCTCCCAGTCCACTGCCATCCATCCCTGCTGGCCTCATGCCAGGCCTGGGTTGTTTTTCAAGTGCCCCCTGCGATGGGACTCTGGGGGGGGCAGGTTTGTCCATCATTAAACCGGGGGCTGGAGCAGGGCCAGGGCTGGGCAGTGAGGCATGTCCCGGCCAGAGCAATCGCTCCCAGTGCCCGCGGCATTGATGGGCCCTTGGAAAGCTGTAGGACCCATGGCATGGTGTGGTGCTGGTGGTGGTGAGGGGATGTGCCACCCCTCAGCTGGTGCTGGGGATATCTCCTGTTTGTAAAGCAAGTCAGAACTAGGAAGGGAAACTGAGGCAAGGAGTGGTTGGACACTTCTGGGAAGGTGTGACTCTTGGTGATCGGCACCCTCCAGCCGTGCCACGGCCAAGGGCCCAGGCAGTGTTGGGGGTATGGCCAGGCTGTGGACTGCAGGTTCCTGGTGGCTGTGCCAGGAACAGGGGCTGCAAGGAGGGGATATCCATGTCCCAGCTGCATTTGGCTCTTGCTGTGGGACTTGTGGCTGTCCGGTCCTTGCTCCTTGCTCCCTGCCCCAGCCACTCTGCTTCCTCCCCGTGTATCAGGGGATGACGTACTGGTCACACGGGAGCTGCCCGTCAGGTCCCTGTCCCCAGTGCCCCCGTCCAAAGGCACTCCCCCAGTGCTTTGGCACAGGTAATTAGCAACACCCCATGTCTCCACAACAGAGTGGGCGGGGCGGGGGTGGGAAGGAATAGTGCAGGAATATGTCCTTGACCCTGGCATGGGCCCAGCTGGGGTGGAGGGACGGGGGCTGTGGGGCTCAGCCCTGCCGCGGTGCTGTGCCAGGTCGTATTTGTGCAGCAGGTCCTGGAGGGGGCTTTGTTTTTTTTCCTTGCCTCTTTCCGTTTTCCCCTTCTTTACGTCACTGCCCAAATATTCGGCTTTTCAGCTCCAGTGGGGGGCCGGCTCGGCTGCTTGGAGGGCTGGGGCCTTTCTCTGCACCCTCGGGGTGATGCACAGAGAGGATGGGCAGGGAAGGGATGCTGAGACTGCCCATACTCACTGCACTGGTGAACACTGGCCAGGACTGGCCTGGGAAGTGTCAGATTAGGCAGCAGGGACCACCAGCCCCCCTCCTTAGTAGCTCCCAGGGCTGCATCCATCTTCCCAGAGCCCTGTCGTGCTGGGAAGCAGGGTCCAGGCCTGCCTCATTTCTCACTGATTTTCCCCCTTCCCAGGCCAGATGAGTTTGCATCCCTCATGGCCACTCCTCCTGAGACCTGCCCTGGAAGGGGTGCTGTGTTCCTGGGGACTCCCAGGATCCTCCAAGAGGTGGCAGTGATCCCAAAACAACTGAAAGTTCGGGCTCAAGAGGAGCTCTACAGACCCTGCACTGGGGCTTATCTCCTGTGTGCTTTAATCTCTGGAGATGAACCACACCTGGATGCCTGGTCCCCAGGTCTCCTTTCTTCCAGTGACATCTGGGGTAACGATGCTCAAGGGTGTTTGTTTTGGGTCACAGAGGAGCTGTTTCACGTGTGTGTGGGGGGTTTGTCTGGGGGGCTGGGAGTCACTGGAGCTACTTTGCAGACTGCTGGACTTGCTCCCACTGGCACTTTGACCCTATGGCTCCAAGAGATACTTTGGCAGCTGTAGTTCAAGGATGTTTTCAGAACTTCTCTGGCTGTGTC